ATGATTACATGGCCAAGGTGAGGAGGTTAAATGATGGTTTGAAGTTGTCCATCTGGGGGAAGATTGTGGGCCATCACTTATAAGATTTGGACTCAATGATCCAAACATCCATGAATATTAAGAGAGAAGTGAAAGATGCAAGGGGTATCCAGGAGGTGGGTGCTAAGGACAAGAAAAAGGAGGGTCAATCCTCTTCCTCTCGTTTAGGGAAGAAGCAAAAGACTTCTAATCGACAAGGGTATCAAAGACAGGGTTGCGGCTACGAAGGTCAAGGGCAAGGTTAATCCTCCCAAGGCAGGAGAAACTTCAGGACTTCCTACTGGGCAAGCTAGAGGACTTGTTTCATATGCCACCAGCCGGGTCATATAAAGTGGGATTGTTCTCAAAAGTAGGGATCCCAGAGCTATGGGGCATATCAGTCCCAGTCACCAGTGGAGCATCCACAAACTTTCCTCATTCCTCATTTTCCTACCATAGGCTAGGGAAATCAACTTCAATTCAAGGGTGCTATACAAGCACCTACTACTTTGTGAGCGAGGAATCTACAATCAGGCCAGGGCATGGGTTGAGGCAGATGACATGGCTTATAGACCAGGACTTTGGGGATCAAAGGGTGAGTCTACTCCATCACTATTTAGATTGAGCCGGTGGACCAGTCAGTGATTCAAGGTACATTCTTACTTTCTCTCTTATAGACAAGGGTATTATTTGACTCTGGTACATTGTATTCATTTATTTATGCATCATGTATAAGGGATTTGGGCTTAGAGGTTGAGACATTAGAAGAGCCATTGCATGTGAGTTCTCCCTTAGGAGTTAGGGTACACATTGATTAGTTATGTTAGGAGTGTGAGCTAGAGATCTAAAAAATTCTACTCACCGTGGACCTTATGATCATGGACATGTCGGAGTTTGATATCATTCTCAGGATGGATTGGTTGACGGCACACCAAGTCGTCATCGATTATGATCGAAAAAGGGTCACTACATATAAACCAGAGGGTGTTTATTTCAAATTTCAGAGGCAAAAGCACGATGCTCTACCCCCAAGTGGTATATGATTCCTGTTAACACGGGTAGTTGATGGGATGACTTGTGTACCTTGCACTTGAGGATGAGGTGAGACATTAGATGGGTCTACCTCGGGTAGTTTCTAAGTATGCGGGTGTTTTTTCGGACGAGTTATTGGGATTACCCCCACATCAAGATGTAGACTTCACAATTGAGCTACAACTCAGTATTTCCCCTATTTTTATGACTCCGTATAGAATGTCACCTATAGAGTTGCAAGAACTCAAGGTCCAGTTGCAAGAATTATTGGACAAGGGTTTCATTAAATTGAGTACCTCACCTTGGGGCGCTCTTGTATTGCTTACCAAGAAGAAGGATAAGACCCTTCGGCTATGTATATTGACTACCGGCAGTTGAACCGATTACCATCAAGAATAGGTACCCTTTGTCATGGATTGATGACTTATTTGATCAATCGAGAGGGGCATGAGTCTACTCTAAGATAGATCTGCGCATGAATTACCATTAGTTGAGGATTAGGGAGGTAGATATTCCTAAGACAGTATTTAGGACATGATATAGACATTTCGAGTTCACAATTATGCCTTTTGGATTGATGAATGCCCCGGGGACATTCATGGATCTCATGTATAGGGTGTTCCAACCCTACCTAAATCAGTTTGTCGTGATCTTTGTTGATGACATCTTGATCTACTCCAAGTCTGAGGACGAACATAAGGGTCACTTGAGGATTGTTCTCCAAACTTTGAAAGACCATTAGTTGCACACAAAGTTCAGCAAATGTGAATTTTAGCTGACGGAGGTGAAACTTTTGGGACTCATGGTGTCGGCTTTGGGTGTATCCGTGGACCCAGAGAAGGTTGAGGCAGTCATGAATTGAGAGAGGCTGAAGTTAGTCTTTGAGATACATAGCTTCTTGGGATTGGCAGGGTATTACAACAGATTCATTGAGGACTTGTCATGACTAGCTGCACCTATGACTAGATTGACCTAGAAGGAGGTCAAATTTTAGTGAGATGACTCATGTGAGAAGGCTTTCCAGGAGTTGAAGATGAGGCTTACTTTAGCTCATATTCTAATAGTTTCGAAGAGGGAACAGAGGTACATAGTGTATTGTGATGCCTCTAAGGACAAACTTAGGTGTGTTTTGATGTAGTCTAGGAGAGTAGTGGCTAATGGTTCTTGGCAGTTAAAGAGCCACGAGTAGAACTACCTCATGCATGGCATAGAGTTGGCAGTTATCATATTTACCTTGAAAACATGATGTCACTATTTGTATGGTGATCAGTTAGAAGTATTTTTGGATCACAAGAGTTTAAAGTATATCTTTACGCAGCGGGACCTCAACATGAGACAATGCAAGTGGATGGAGTACTTTGAGGATTATGACTTCAGCTTGCATTACCATCTCGATAAGGCAAATGTGGTGGCTGATGCACTCAGCTGAAAGTCACGTGGAGTCTTTGCTAGTATAGCTTCCCGGGAGTGGCAGATGCTCGAGACTGTGGGGCAGTTCGGGCTACACTATAGGGGTGAGACTCAGGACACTTTGGGGAGTTTGGTGGCTACGCCTTCCCTATTGAGTAGGGTGATTGAGTCCTAGGGACAAAACACTGAGATATTGTCCATCAGGGACCAGGTACAGTCGGGTATAAACGACGAGGGCTGGATCATTCACGCAGATAGTTGTCTTCGATTCAGGGGAAGGGTTGTAGTTCCCTAGTCTATGAATCTGAGAGAGGAGATTCTCAGAGAGTTTCATTGCTCCTATTTTGTTGTGTATCTAAGTGGCACGAAGATGTACCATGATCTTCGCTGTCAGTACTATTAGCGCGGGATGAAGAGGCACATTGGAGACTTTGTTAGTAAATGTTTCACGTGTCAGCAAATCAAGGCTAAGCACCAGAGACCAGCAGAGTTGCTCCAGCCTTTGGAGGTGGCTAAGTGGAAGTGAGAACACGTCACTATGAATTTTGTGACCCACTTGACATAGACATCGCAGGGGTATAACGCGGTGTGGATGATAGTGGATCGGCTTATGAAGTTGGCACACTTCTTGACAGTGCGGATGACCTTCACATTAGAGGAATTTTACAGATTGTACATACGAGAGATAGTCTGGTTACATGGGGTATCCGTATCGATAGTATCGAATCGGGATCCCAGGTTCACAACCTATTTGTGGGAGAGTTTCCATTAAAAATAGGGTCGGGATGCGAGAAGGGCTAGATTGTCTCTCGGATGCAAGACTCGGTAATTTGGATATGCACTCCGTTGGTATCGAGTCCATAAAGTGTGTCGGCATATGTGAAGTAGTTGATCAAAGTCCATAAATGTCATGTCAGTTAGATTCCCGTTAATGAAATTCTAAAAATTTTCACCCCAAGAACGACCCGGGATTTATAAATGATCATTGGATGTATAACATCAATAGTGGGGACTTGGAATACCTGAATTTATATGCATGACATTGCTTGTGTTATGGGAGCCAGTGAAGGTTCGAGTTGTGTTGCATGTGTGAGTCTCACCTTATAACATAACGTGACATTATGATGTTCATTCTTGAAGTTGTATGTTCCTGGATAAATGCTTTTTTGATTGTTGAATTCCATGTGAGCATTTCATATACATTCAGGTTGGAGAGTAGCCTCTTTAGGAGATACTCTATTGAGCATGACTCACCCTTTATGGGGATAACATTTTAGGTATGAGATAAGTACCGATGGAAGGCTCTCACTTGGACCCTTGTTGATAAAAAAAGCCGAGTTGTGGCTTTAGATTACATTTTTGTAAAACAATTGTGTAATTGATTTTAGATATGTAACATTGTATAAAGGATTATAAAAAGTACTCATATGAATAATATTTTGTGTAAAATTTGATGTTATATGAGTATGGGTGAATGTTGTATGAGATTGGGTGAGTTGAAATAAAAAAAGGATTGAGTTGGGGGAAAACTGGGCTCATCGATAGGTAGAAAGTCTTGATCTACTAGTAGAAAAATTCCAGATGACTCATCTACCGGTAGAAAGTCTTGACCTTATGGTAGAAAAACTCCAGAGGATTCCTCTACCAGTAGAATAGACATGATCTACTGGTAGTTCTTCCAAATGTTTCAAAATTTTAAAATAAAATTGCCAGTTCTTCGAGCCTTCAGTCCTTTTGTCCAAATGACGTAAATGGATTAATATTAGGGACAAATGGATGTATATTGGATCTTGGAATGGTCAAGTGATTGAAATGTACACAGGTTATGCATTTGAGAGTGTCCGATACAAGGGAGACTCTACCCAAACTCTATATTGGTTACGATCCCGATGAAGGGGATGTTATGACGTGGTGAGGGGTAACGCGACATTCATAGGTACTTTTGCGAGTTGATGGGTGATCGCGGGTTGACAAAGGACCCCCAATTTTAGGGGCATCATAGATGAATCTCGCACGGTTATTGTCGACCTGAGGGACTCTTTGCCTTCTAAGCCCCAGTTGGTGGAGAATCAGCACAAGAAAATCGAAAAGACCAGGAGGGAGGTCGCCAAAGCATTTACAGACGGGTTTTTCAATTTCGAGGACCAAGCGTTCAAGAAGTTTCCTGACCTTTGCCTAGATCAGTTCAAGCCTCGATTTGACCTTCCTCCTAGTGGTTCCTCTGGTGCTGCTCTGCCATCTAGCCAACCCTAAAATCTCTTGTTGCTTTTGTCATTGTTGTTTTTCTTTTTCTTTTTTTTTGCTTGTAAATTGTAATCCTTCTTATATACTGAAATCAAAAACACTTTAACTTCCTCCTGATGTTGTTAGTTATACGTTGTGTTCCTCTTTTGCCCCCTACTCCAAGGAGGTCTTGACCTTGTTGGAGTTTGTTTGTTGTTTAGTTGCTTCCTTGCCCCCTACTCAACAAAGGTCTTGACCTGATTAGCGTGATCTCATGTTGGATAGTCTCAAGATATGCGAGGTCGAGCTATGCATATATGGGCTCTTTAACCTTTTTGTTAGCTCTGCTCGGTTGTTTTATCTTACTGGTGTCGTACACTCTTAGATCGAGGCATACAGGTTTAGCGGAGAAAGTAATAGATGTGTCATTATTCGTGTCCACCTAAATTCACCTAACTTCCCATGGCACTGCCTTCTGCCATGAAGTTTCTTCATTATAGGAGTGTAACGGTTGCCTATTTGTCTTTGCACGTTATCTATTCCCTTTAACTTTGGAACTTCCTACTCTTCGCATTCTTACATTTCCTTAGCGTTTGCTTTACAGTGTCATGGCTTCCTCTCCTACTCCATTGTTTAAGCAATGTGTTCATGCCATGATGGAGGTCCCATGGTATTCTTCGTTTCTACTCCCTACCATCATCACTGTGGGTGAGGTGGAAGAAGTCAAGAGGCAATACCTTCTTCTTGCTAGCTTAACCATTTGGGTTCCTTCCCCTGACAAACCTTACAACTTTCTCCTTCAAAGAGAAGTTTGTATTTTTGAGGGCACGTTCGTGATAATTATTTGTTTGCCCATTCATCTAGTCGTAGGGCGGATTCTTGCCTTCTTTGGGCTGTGCCCTTCGCATCTCTTCCCAGATGGATGGGGGTACTCTTATAAGCTTCTTCATCCTTTGGTGCTTGCGAGGCCATGAACAATTTCCCACTGTCGCTGAGTTCCTTTACTTTTTTTACTTTGATTTTGACATGCCCCTTACTATCGTCGCTTCACGTGAAGGTGCCATGTTCCAACGTTGGTTCTCGACGCCCCTAGCTCCCTTAAGGGATGGCTCCTTATTTTTTCTTTATTTATAGGGACTCTTGGGAGTCTGTCGAGGCACAGTCTGAACGTTCCCAGATTCCTCGCTCTTGAGGGCGTCTTCTAAACAGAGGTAAAGGAATAATGGCTCTGCTCTCCCTTTTTCCCTTGTCTCTCTAGGGATCTATTGGCTGGTAAATATCATTTCAGGTCTTAACAATATTTTTGTTATGCAGATAGCCCCAGTTTGACTCCGAACAACATCATCAAGGTTTGTTGGCTTACTCGCACCAAGGAAGCTCCCTCATCCACTCTTGTTACATCTCAGAATCTCTTTCGATTCGGAATTAGCCCCAAATCAACTATCATTCTGGTTGTTGCTCTAAACCCTCCTCCTTTTGTCATCAATGTAGACTCCTCCCCAACAAGGTCAAATGAGGATGATGTCACCTCTTCAGGGGGAAAGAGGAAACGCCGATGAGGTAGCTCATCCCATCGTCGTTAGATTCCTCTTCTAGTGAGATGAGGTTTACAGTTGCTGAGTTAGTGCTTACCTTGGGGAAAGCAAGGCTTAAAAAATAACTCTCTGAGGTTGAGAAGGAGCGGGACAAGCTAAAGACCGAGAACGCTCGTTTGCGGGTTGCAAATGCACAACTGGAGAAGGAAGTCTTTAAGCTAAAGAAAAGATTTGGGGGGGGGTGCCTAAACTTGTTTTTTTACTTTTTATAAATTTGCTAACTTCTTAATACAATTTGGCCCTTTCTTTTAACGCCTTGTTCATTCTTTTGCGATTGTCAACTTTAATTAGATAGCTGCTAGGTCTTGAGCTTCGCTTGACTTAGTCCTTCAGAGCCACATAGGTTGAAAAGCCGAGTTGAAAGGCTCTCTAGCTGAAGAGCCTAGGCCAAGTTGTCCGGTTGAAGAGCTCACGACTTTTAAGCTTAAAAGCTCTTAGGCTAAGAAGCCTAGTCTAGGGTGCATGACTAAGGAGCTCACGACTTTCGAGAGTTGAAGAACTTTGCAGTGGTTGAAAAGTTGAGATGAGAGACTCTTAGGTTGAAAAGCCTGGGCTAGGTCGCGCAGCTGAAGAGCTTGCGGCTTTCGAGCTGAAAAGCTCTTAGGTTGAGAAGCCTAGTCGAGGGTGCGCGTATGAGGAGCTTGTAGCTTGCGGGAGTTGAAGAACTCTGCAGTAGCTAAAAAGCTGAGATGAGATGCTCTCAAGCTAAAGAGCTCGCGACTTTTGAGCTGGAAAGCTCTTAAGCTGAGAAGCCTAGTCAAGGGTGCGCGGCTAAGGAGCTTGCAGCTTTTAAGAGTTGAAGAACTCCTCGGATCATAGACTGAGCATGTTTTGTTGGTTATAATTTGAAATTTTATTGATTGGGAGTTGGAAGTTTACAATTGACCTTTTTCCCCTCACTGTTTCTAATTCCCAATGGTTCTATTGGTAATAATGCTTCAAATGGTTTGCTCTCCAAGAATGCTGCAAGTCCTTCCCCTATTCGGCATGTAGCTTGTAGTTACCAGGTCGGATAACAATCTTCACAATGTATGACCCTTCCCAATTTGGCCCAAGTTTTCTATGTGAGGGGTTTTTCCTTGTTAGGAGTAGTTTATTGAGGACTAGATCACTTGGTTTGAAGGTTATCTTCATGACTCGTCGATTGTAATACCTCGTAGTGTTCCTTTAATAAGAAAATATTTGTTGTAGTGCTTCGTCTCTTTTCTCGTCCAAAAGATCGAGGTTGACTGGTAGAGACCTTTCATTCTACTCAGGATCAAAAAGCTCAGCTCTTGCTAAAGGTAGTCCAACTTCGACTGGGGCCACAACTTCAGTTCCATAGGTAAAGTTGAATGAGGTTTCTCCAATTGCTAGTCTAATCTTTTCTTCAATGCCAGCCTGATGGTTCTAATGGTGACCTCCGCCTGTCTGTTGGACTGTGGATGTGCAGGTGCCAAGAAATAGTTTTTGATTCCCAGCTCCGCATAGAACCCCGTAAACCCTGGATTGTTGAACTGCTTTCCGTTATCTGAAACTACTACTCAGGGGATGCCAAAGTGGTAGATTATCGATTTTCAAATGAAATTTTTAACCTTCTGCTAAGTTATCTTGGTCAATGCTTCAGCTTCTGCCCGTTTGGTGAAGTAATCCACTGTGTGGCACGCCCCATCTCGGTCTCCCAAGGATGAGACGCAACTACGTTTTTGATACACCTATTTACTTATGTAATCTGGATTAATAAAACACTAAATAATCTCACAAGTGCAACAACACCGCCTATCACCTTAGCCATTAAGCATGATGGTAATACCTGACTCATAACATGTATCATATAAATAACACATGTACCATTTTTTTTTCAAGCCATATGCATATACAAAATCCCACACCCACATAGCATACATAAAAAAGTATGCTTGTTGAGTCTGTTTACAATTATACATTATTAACCTGCTATAATAATCTCTCACTCAATATAATATACAATCCAGCAAATAATTATACAAACACTCAACCTGTATCACTCAATCATTAAAACTAAATACATAATTAATGGACATACAACTTGAATAATATATTACACTAACTTCGTTGGACTACTCCAGACTAGATCCAACTCCACAAGATAATATTCAACCAACTAGACAGTGGACTAATCCGCAACTCTCTCGATAGTACATAAAAAAGAGAAACTATAGGGGTGTGAGCTAAACCACGCGCTCAATGAGTATACATGCCGTATATAAAATGGAAATGATAGTAATACACAGAAATAAATAAATACTACGTAGATACACATATCAAACAACTACATCAATCCAATTTCAAAGAATTCACAAGCCACATCACATTCATACTACCCCTCATCGGATAATCGATCCCACATGGATCCATGTCTTTCGAACTTCTTTGGAACACTACAGTGCTAGCACACCACTGCATGCCTAGTGATTAGGCATCGACATTCCTATCTCAGATAGTGCGCCACATTCTACAATACAAAATACACAACACAAAGTATCATTCAATCATATAAGCTCATAGCACATAATCTTGGAGAATTTCTATTAAATTCTATCATTTACTATCATCTTATAATAACATTTTCAAAATATATAAAAATATATACCCACCTCAAGTGTACAGATTTACGGGCCTTTGGACCTACCAGTGGATCCCTTCGATGTTATCGTATCTGTCTCAACACGGACTGTCCTACCTATTCCACTTAACACATTTGTAATTATAATATCAATATATTTATCATATTTAATAATTAATCGTGCACTAATGCATGTAAGATGATTCAACCCAAAATTTCCCTATAACCTCGGTTACCGCACCGTCCACTCACCCACTAGCACATTAGATTTAGGGATCACATTTTCTCTCCCAAATCTCCAAAATCACTCACATTAATCACAATTAGATTTAAGTAGGTCAAACACATTGATCGGGGGCCAATTTTTACACATTTTGACCCTGAATCCTAAAAATCGCACTTTTGACATTTCATACATTTCGCACCGGATATTATATTCATTTGCATTTGAAACTCACATTATCACATCCAGTATCAAATAAGAATGCGGCATGCAAAATTTTGGGTCAATTGGATCAAAATTCACATATGTGATAATAACGTTTATAAATCAGGGTCGACATTACCATCACCCATTTTTAACCTCTATCGCATTTTTCTTTTAAAACAACTACACTTAAACTCACACACACATTTGATCAAGCAAAACAACCCCTTAATTGAACCCTTAAACCCTCCATTTAACTCTCACAAATCTCAGTTTCAACCTAGCCCACTAAAAGCATCCCGAACATCTCAAATGTTCGTTTTCTACACTTTTCTCACACTCAGTTGAATACCTATTTAAAACCCATTCTTAACAGCCCTTTAATTATGCTTAACACACTTAATTAGACTCACACAAAGTCTCTTTTGAAATTAAAATAAAACAGCCCCCACACACACATGCTTAAAAGTAATCACACACACACACACTAAAACGAACACAGTCACCCTTATACGTTCTCTTGCTTTCTTCTTCTTTCCCCACCTTCTTCTTGCCCTCGCTCATTCTCGACTTGACATGGAGGTTTCCCCCAAGCTCCTCCCTTTTTCTTCCTTCTTCTCCCTCTTGGTTTGAACTAGAAATACCCACCAAAAACTTGGTTGTCTCTTTCTCTCTCCTTCCTTGCTCATGGCTCAAGAGACACACACATATTTTCTTCTCTCTCTCTTGCTCTCCCTCACTCACAGTTTCAGAAAAGAAAAAACACACACACACACACACACTAAATCATGTTTTAAACACACACTACTACACCTTAAATTACACACACACACACTCCATACACACGGCATACACACTCACATCCACCTTGCATGTTTAATTGACTCACCCACTTGATATTTCAACACATGTAAGGATGACTCATTCTAATTTAATAATTACACTTGCCTCCCCCAAGTTCTTAAGTGATTTCAAAATCAACCCATTACTATTTTCACATATGAAATTTCTATAAATGGGTCTCACTAATACTTTACTAACGCATTTCACATACTCGATGTATACTCACACATATCATGACAAAGAAGGATTTACTTAAGTAACCCTTTAATAGTTTCACATAATTGTAATTTAGTCCCCATAATTATGCTATGACAAACTTACACTATCCGACGCCAATCGGTAGGGGCCCCAGGATGTCCAGCCCCAATTATTGAAAAGGCCAAGGGCTAACTACTGACGTGAGCTACTCGGGGGAAGAATGAGGCAAGTTCCCGTGGATTTAGCAAGCTTGACATTTTTTCACTATCTCTTTCGCGTCCTTGGCCATTGTGGGCCAAAAGTATCCCTTCTAGAGTGCCTTGCTGGCCAGGGTTTATGCGCTGACGTGATTCCCACATATACCCTCATGAATTTCTTTTAAGATGTAATCTGCCTCCATCTCAATGACACTTTTCATTATAGGAAAAGAAAAATCTCGATTGTATAACTTACCTTGCACAATAGTGAACCTTGCAACCTTGCTCTTTAGCTTTGCTGCTTCCCTCTTGTCACGTGGGAGGAGCCCGTCCTGTATAAAAGAAATGATGGGTTCTATCCATGAGATGGTCTCATCGACATGCATTGCTTGGTTATCATCGGACTGGACACTTGGTTCAAGAAGGATCTCAACAGGCATTGTTCCAGACAATTCTTGTTGGGCTACGGTGGCCAACTTAGCCAGTGTGTCGGCTCAAACATTAGGTTCTTGGGTCACCTAGACAAGCTCAGCTACCACAAATCTCCTCAACATGCTTCACACCTTTCTCATATACAGAGCCATATTGTTATCTAGGGCTCCGTATTCTTTTCCCCTATCTATCTGACCACCAACTGGGAATCACTATGGATAATGACCTACTGCGCATCCATTGATAAGGCTAAGTTGAGGCCATCTATAAGAGCCTCATACTC